AAACGCCAGTCTTCGTCGAGGCCTGATCCAAGCATCGGAGCTACTGCAAGGGTCTTTAGGATCTAGGCTACCGCCATGTTTTTGCGGCCTATTTTTCGGAAGGTGGTGGCTTCAGCTTCGGAAGTTTGGGCTTCAGATATGTGGCAAGACGGCAATCGCCTTCCGGGTGGCCGTGAGGTTGGAATTTTAGGACTTTGGGTGTTTCCTGCCATCCGGCACGGTGGTGTGTTGGCAGGAGCTTCAGCGTAACCTAAGATCCACGGGAGCAAATCCAAGAGACCATACCCCCATGTGAAGGGAGAGGGAGCACAGACCCTGCAGGTTGGGGTTGGAATCGGCACGCACACACGCTCATGTTTCTCGGCATGTGCGGGGTGGGTTTCCGAGCCCCCTGTGCTGCTTCATGGCCATAAAAGCCTTCAAAAAGTCCGGCGAAAGCTGCGCTCGTGAGTACCAGGAATGATGCATAATGAAGAGCTTGACATGGCAGACGTGGCAAAGCGTACATTACGTTTCTTGCCGTTGTGTCCAAAGCGGACTGCGAGACAGCTGCCCAAGCACATCGGGAATTGCATACTCTACATGTAAACTTCACATACCCTGAGGCTTTGTGAAATACAGTACATACTGAAGAACTATCATCTACCTACTCTATCATTTGCGTTCAGTCCAGTCGAATCAAACTAGCCCTTCACGCGCCAGGGATCAACGGCCCCAGAAGTACCATGCGGCGCAAGCAATGACTCCGAGCACCACGACACCAACAATGACTGCAGCAACAGGGGGAAAGGCTGCNNCCTGCTTTGGTTGCAAGCAGTCCCTTTGTTTTGGCTGCCGCTGCACCTGCTTTGGTTGCAAGCATTATGTTGGATTTGGTTGCCGTTGCACCACTTGCTTTGGTTGCAAGCAGTGTCGTGGATGCCGTGGATGTGATTGCCCTGTCCAACCCGCTTTGGTCAAGCCGTCCTGTGGATTTGTCTGGAGGAGGTAAGGCTTTCAGATCACTCACGAGCTGGGCTCGACTGCTAAAGCGCAGGACGATCACGTGATGATCTTGAGCAGTACGGTCCAGAGTTGCCGAAACATTGTTGAGACAATGACCATGATTCACAACCAACACGCCTTTGCTGGCCCCATGCGACTTCATGTCTGACCAAATCTTGCTCACATCATCGGTGGACACATGGCTTTTGGAATGGTATTTGGCATCAATGACGTACCTGTCGTCACCATTGATCGTCACCGTGTAGTCGGGATTGCTTGTTCGGGAGGGCGGTTCTTTGTGCCTATGCTGCGGTTCATGGCACTCGGTCGTCACGCGGTCAATTTTCCGGAACGGTGGCTTGTCGACCCAGTCTTTGCCAAAGGCCTCCTTCAAACATTCTCCAACCTCCTCCTCGAAGAGACGTGCTTCAGGCCTGTCACCGCCTTTAGCCATTGCTTCTTGCCCACCCACAACCGAATGCTCAGGACAGCTACTGGCCCAATTTACTTCGACTCGAAGCGGCTACGGTTGAGCGATGCTGGGCAATGTTGCTTCTGCCTCCACATGTCACATCATGCACACCCCGCCCTGCTTTCACTTCAGGAAGAACTGTCCTCGAGGTCGCTGTCGTCGTGGTTCACAAGCGTCGCCCAATGAATCGGAACAGGGAGCGCATCCCTAAGACAATCCCACTGCTTCTGACCTAGCTAGCCACACGGTCATGACCTGATCGCACTGGTGAAGCCGCCTTGGTGAAAATGGCTCTGCACGTAAGCTTGTACTGGGGTCGCGGTCATACAGTACATGGGGGAGATGTAGGGGGGAGTAAAGGAACAACCTTCAAATGGGTTGACTGGTGGTAGTATTACCCAAAATGGGCAAGTGTTCTTCTAACTGAATACACCTAGCAGCCGGAGACTTCCAGTGCCAGACAGACTTCCAGCTCAGAAATATCAGCGTCAGCCAAGCTGGGGGGGCCTGTGCCGTAGAACTTCGACAGCGGTACGCGCCCGGTGTGGAAGGGGTCCATGGCAACCAGAGACTCCTGCAATCAATTGATTGGCCGAGTTTCAATACCAAGAAATGGCAGAACATCGAAGGAAACGATCGAAGGATCAGGGCAGCGTGCTCCAGCAAAAAACAAAAACCGAGTCCAGCCCTGCGCAAGCAACTAGGCTGCGCCAAGCACAACCATGTACAAAATCTTGTCGTGACCCAGGATCCTCATCCAGGACCTTACCCAGCAAACCTGACAAGTCACTTGTCCTCCCCCCCTAACCGGAATTAGCTCACCCTGCTGGCTACCCCTCCATCACCGCTGCATCGTACCTCCGCCC